CCTTTCCTCCCTCCCTCCCTCCCTCCCTCCCTCCCCTCCGCCTGCCTGCCGCGATCCCTCCTTCTCGCTGGCCGCATGGCAAGCCCAACACAATCAGGCCCCTCCGCAGCAGGCAGCGCCACACCCCGCATAGGTGGTAACCCAGAGAGGGTCCCGGTGGGACCGCGCGGCGGGGCAGGCAGCACCCGGGGGGATCTGGCAGGCTGGTGGATATCAGTGGTAGATTTCAGACCTCGCCCCTGGTGCCCAGGCTTCCAGGAGCCCGTCAGTATGCGTCCCCGCAAGGGGCAGAGGCGAGGAGCTCTTCGAACAAGTCCTGTGGGTTCTTTATGCTGACACCCCGGCTCCCTCTTCCCCGCAAGAGGACAGCCGATAGCTGGCAGCGCAGCAGCGTTGCCTAGTAAGAGACAACCTACCGCCGAAGCCCCAGACCAGGCCCGCAAAGGTGAGGGAAATGCAGAGCTGTGCCAATTACTGATGGACTCCAGGGGCTCCGTTGCCCTCTTAGCTCTGCACGGTCACCGGAGTCCGGAACGCTAAACATGTCGTAAGCAAGTTGTTCGCCCTCTCTTCCGCCGCTGCCTGTTGCCTCTCGGATTGCTTGGCCTTGCAAGCCTGAATGACCGCACGTACCCGGCTTGCGCCCCGTGAGGAGGCACAAAAAGGTCTGGCCTTCCCTCGGGCCGGGAACAACCGTTCCCATGCACAAAGAGTGCGACAGGGTCTGCAGAGAGAGGAGGAACGCTTTGCGCGGGATGGCTTTGGCCCTAGCTTTCCCAGAAAGTCCACGCTCTGCCGGCCTCACGGGGCAAACCCTAGTGCTGGAGCATCAGCAGCCCAGCTACAGCGAGTGCTCCGCTCTGCCAGGGAGAAGCAGGGGAATGAGCGTTGGAATGTTTACTCTCCAATATTTCTCAGTTTCCATTCCATCCTGCCCTGAAAGATTTCTGATTACTATACACTTCAAAATAGTATTTATTACAGATTTACATAATCTGTATGTTTTATGTTAAGGGAATAACACATTGATGCTGTACTACTGAAAGGAGTTAATCTAAACTATGTAGTGTCTGCTATAGCAGAGTTCCAACTAAAACATGTCCTCGTTGCCTGGCACTGACAAGTAACACATATCCAGAAGGACGCTGCCCGGCACATTAGGTAAGCTGCCAGGTGAAGCCATTGCTCGAGTCCTGAACCTTCACTGGGTTACGGAGCAGCACTTGGCAAAATGAAACGATATGCGTCTCTGTGTAACCTCCCATCTAATTTAACAAGCGTTATTTCAAATAGCACGTGCCTGTTTTACGACCGGATTCATGCGGGTAAGCAAACACCGAAAGGGATTAAACTGGTTTAGGCCTGAGGTAAGCAGCATGATAACTCAGGTTGAATGCTATTTAAAATAGATTTGAGTGCATGTACGGCTAAGCGGTAGTAATAGCGTTTACATTTTGTTATTCTAAGTCTGTCGTTGAGTGTACTTGATGAGATTGTCCATGAGAATACAGATGGTGAGATTTTCATGCTTCTGTGGCATACTGACATCTCAGGCTGTACAAATAAATTCCCAGATCGCTGCAATACCTAAGAAGTAGAAAAATGCAGTCCACCTTAATGCTCAACATTCGAGTGCTTTACGCTTTAAGAGATTTTATAACACGAGATACGCAAGTTTGTGCAAATCGGGAATACTGATTTAATGGATTTACAATACAAAGCAAAATTCAAGAGAACCTCTGTGCCCTTTTTTAAGGAGATTATTTTTTCTGTGCTTCCGAATTTAGAGATATGGGGGGTGGAGATAAAAACTTGCCTTTCTTTGCTATTATCTGTAATAAATTTTTTAAACTGTCCCTAAGGACGAAAGGAAGAACTGACTTTTCATTAGGTCAAGTTTACTTTTCATTGAAAGATTCTTGGATTGATTCTTGAGTCCACATAATTTTCCAAACTGGTAACAAATTATTATATCTATTTTGATGATTTATGCTGCACTGAAAAGGTATTTGCGTCAAAGACGAATGCTGAGGTATCTTCTCGAATATAATAATCGCTTTTTTTCCTGCCTAAGAAGCCATAGTGCGGACTGATCCGTGCATCAGCCTGTTCAGCCTGGAAACCAACACTGATATTGCTCATAAATAGCTGGGGTAGGGCACCCCTATTGGTTAATGTCTGGCCGCAGACAAGGTGCTGTGCTTATCAAGGTCTTGAGCTGACCGAATTAAAAATTTTAAATAGATACATATAGCAGGGTGATATGGTGAAAATGAGCTAAAAGAAAAGCATTTTGCAGAGACAAGTACATACTTTAAAAAGGTTTAAAATATTCAATTGGTGAAAAAATAGCTACTTGTAAAAACGTGTGTATTTTCATTATGCTTAATTTGCCATTCAAAACAAGTTTTTCTTAATAAGCTCTATTGTTTCTATCTGTTTTGTGAAATGTAATACGTGTGAGACAGAAAGCAGACTCGGAATGTGAATGAGTTGTTTTCTCTTTCTCTCTTTCTTTCTATCGTTTTTTAAATACAACTTTATTCATATTCACAGGCATCTAAGTCGAGAAAAGGATTAATGGATGTGGCATAGCATTCCTGAGGTCATGATCTGAAAAGATGAAACACGAAATCTTATCTGCTAGTCTTTTCCTATATCTTATTTCTGTGCAATGTAAAAGTCTCCATAAGCAAAACACTCTGTGGTTAATAGTTATGTTTTCGCTCTCAGCAGTGACACCAGCTTTGTCAGGTTTCGGCTGTTCGCATAGTTCATTAAAATACTTTAATAAATGACTCGTTGTTTTAAAAAATCACCACACTATCACCCGAGTAAAAACATCTATATCCTCCCAATCCTGCGGTGTCAAAAAGTATAGTCTCTCAG